ACTTTACCTGCTTACTATTTCCAGAGTACTAATTTCCTTATTTTGCTTGCCTTATTTATTTATCTACAACTGCTCTATATCATTTTTTTCTTCCTCTTATTTCTTCGATCTCCTAAACGGTCACCCATTCCGTTCCACTTTAGTACCGGTGTAAATAACCACAAACAAAAGAATAATGCTCACGTTCAAATTTGCTATATTGCTGGTGTCAGTACAGCTAAATTTGGCAATGATCAGATCCCAAATTGATATTCATCGGTGGAGCACACATCATACATGCGAAAACAATGACGACTGTAACAGACGTTTAAAAACTTTCTGGACACCATACGAGTTTGTTTGTTGCACAACAGTATTATGTGATGAAAGTTATGGCGATTACTATTTGGTTCACTCTGGATGTTCTACAAAACGACATTGTAAACCAATGATTCAAATCAAAGACTATACACGTTTTGCTGGTACGGTAAAATTAAAATTCATCCCAGCAGTCTTCCTTCTAATACCCCGAAAAACACTCATTCGAAACTCTATGATATTACTGAGTGACTGCGCAAAACCTAGATCATAAATAAGCGTCCCGTCAACACTCACTCTCCCACATCTAATTATTTAGTATCCCAATAAACGTTTTAACCTGCCACAAAATGCGATCACTTTCAGCGCGAATGGAGAAAGCGTACTTCGACTTGTTCGACACTTCGCTAGAAGGAGATTGTCCTGCAACTAGACAGAAAATGACTGTTGGAATACCAAATGCAACACTGATCACTCCGATTCCGCCCCCAACTACAACTACACCCGCCACTCTGCGAACAATCCCCACGGTACACTTTTTAAGAGCGGAACATTATAAAACTTTCTCCACTTCTTGATTCTGATAGCAGTCTAATCGAAAAAAATTGAGAAATAAGCACATAAACCTTTACAGGTCACTTGCAAGTGCACTAATCCATCAGAATGCTGCGTGCACATTGAATGTTCAGACAGCCTCCAAAATGGAATCAAACAGTACAAACTTGATGTCGAGTGCATCCCCCAATGCACTAACTTAGTGACGAAAATCGGGACGCAGTACACATGTATGTGAATACCTTATTAAAAGTAGCTTCTTAAGAACTTCTACACAGAAAAGATTTGAAACCAATTAGTCTTTAAGACACATCAAAGACATCCCGTCGGTATACTAAATACTTTTGCAGTTTACTTGCCAGCACCACTGTGGGAAAAGAGGAATGTCTATGAACACGACCAATCAGCCCCAGCTGTAGAAGAATCATGTAGAGAAACACGGTAAGCATTTATATAAAAATACAAAACGCATTTTACCCATAACTTTTAAAAAACCCCGCCAAACGCTATCCCCTAACACCTCCTTAGTCAAACACCACCTCCTCGCAAACTCTCACTCCAGTCCCGTTACGCCACCCTAACAAATCAAAAACAAAAAATGTCAACAGAAGAACAAGCTCCTCCCAAAACCTACCGGTATGGACCATTCCAACCAGTGTACAGAGCTTCACCACAGTACTAAAAATTCGACAAATAAAAACCCTAACAACTAAGTCCTCAAGTGCTTTTCAGATTTTTTTACCAGTGGGCTACGAAGTCTTGACTGAAGATGTGCGCTGTCATTCGCTGTCATTAATTCCGGGTACATAGTACATAAACGACTACAGCTGTCTGACCACATGCAACTCCTTTGAGCTAGATTTATTATTAAGGAACGAATTAAAATATAAAAAAAATAATGTTTGTAAGCCTTTTACCAACATAAATATACAGGAACTATCTTGCGGGTTTCATTTTGTGCACCATTTAAATTTTGGTAATAACAAAAACCAACCAAATAAAACTCATTATCTTAACTGACGCCTCACAAGTGATGTCAAGGGTTGTGTCCAAAAAAATAAAGTACAAAAACAGACCCCTGCACTACCACTCCACTTCCATACGACACATTACACAATATAATTTGCAAACGACGAAGCTAGCATCAATAAACTCTTCAAGAACAAGAAATGAGATCAATGTTATGAGATAAGAGCATATAAAGTACCCATGAAAAGAACTGAAAACCAAGAAACTTCTTCAAAAGCTATATACATCAGAACTTTCACCGTATTTTTTCTGAACACATTTCGCTACAATTTTCTTAATACCAACTATCAGAAACATCCCAGCACTAAAATTATAGAAGAACCTACAAAAAAAGATCTGTATATTTACAAGTGCTGCCACTGCCTATGGCTTCTTAAAGCGATTAACACCCAAATGGTAATAAAGCAACTCCGGGTCAATCCTGACAACATTACCTCTAGAACGATCCGATCTCATGCCAAGTACCTGCAGTAAAAAATAGACATAAATCGAGTAGTAAAACACTGAAATATAAGCCCGCATTTTTTGCAAATCCGGAGCTTCCAAATGGCAAAAAATCCTTACAAAATGTCTATTGATAGCATGTTCCTTATAATGAAGCTTATCTATTCCAAGCTTGCAAACGTTGCAGGAAGACATCTTGGGATCAAAGTGAGTCTGCATGAAATGACCAACAAATTGTTCTCTCTAAAATCGTAAAATTCAAATTTTTAATGACACGAAAACTAAAAGACTGAACAGCATACCTTTGGCTCGTACGGAAAACAAAGCCCACACTCCCGACACATACTCCACAATGCAAAAGCATGAAGAAATGTGTGGCATAGTCTCGGGACCGTACCAGAAACAGGAGTAATCCAGTAGTATTGCGCGGTACCGCAAATAACGCAACAGGTGCTTAAGAGGGTTAGAAATATAAGGCAATAAGGACCTTAGAGGAGAACGCTATTAAAATGCTGAACCACAAAAAAAACTAAAAACTATCATTACATTCTATCGAGATACCCCGATGGTGAAATCACCAAGAAACACTTCAACCACCTTACAAAGTTGAGACTAAGCTCACGATATTACCAAGAAGCAGAGAGTGTACTAACCCTGATTGCGCACGGTCGTGATCGGATTGGTGAGCATTCATAGCCTCACAAGATGCAAAGAAACGTGTACACCTAAAGTATTTTTGAGCAAAGTACATCCGGTCAATAAACGACAAACTCGTTCTTTTGATGCAACATTTGAAGAGAAAAACGTCTACATCCCAAAGAAAAAAAAATACCCTCGAACTCTCAAGAAATGTCTCAACATCCGGTGATATGGATTTCGTTCCTTAATATGGTCAGCAAACTCATCCAAATCATTGTATCTATTTCCTTCCGGACAAAACGGACAAGTGAGTTCTACAGCTGGTACTGCAATTAACGGTCAATACTATTGAAATTTGCGGCTAAACTCTTCAAAATGGCAGGACACAAAAAATTTTAAACAGATAACAAGTTTTATGTTTGGAAGCGGTTTAACCACTTTGCAAAAACTGCAATTAAAGATAGAACAATTACGCTGGCTATTTCTGTGAACCATAATTTGATGCTTGACGGCACTTGGCTCATCGGGGAACCCCTCACCGCATTCCAGACAGAAATGTGTTTGGAAAAGTTTATGCCGCAAGCAATGCACATGTGCCAAAGCCACCTTGTCGATGAAGATACCCTTACATTCCGGTGAAACACAAACTAATCTATTGTCAGCCAACTGCATTATATATTCTCTATCCAATGGAGCAACACTGCTAATCTAAAAAAGGAATATAAGCAAGGACATGTCGTCAAAGAACATCCACAACAATAACATTCGGCGTTGAAACTTACGGTTCTCCCAGCCACCGCAAGAGGTACCTGGGGACGGGGCAACGATGAGAACTGTTTATTAATTACTGAATCACCCGTAACGGTATTCTGAAGCATAGGCCGGCAAATCAAATTCTACAAGTTTAGAGTGACAGTCAAAGAAAAACTAAGAACAAAGCTCAAGAGAACTCAGTTCAGGAAAATACTCTTACTGACATTGAAACGAATTGCTGTCATAGAGGACGGTCCCGAAACCTCACTTGGTGCGAGACTACAATCATTAGGTCCCGACAACGTAATACAGGGCGACTGGTGATTACTGGTAGCGGATAAAAAACTACTCGATGACTGAGGAGCCTTCGATAAATTTCCCGAAACAGAAGCAGAAGGTATATTACTGATCTGATAAACATTTAAAGATGTTGAGGGAGGCTGTCTTCGCAAATTTATAGCTGCAGTTGTTGTCACAGGCTGCACATATCCACCTGTTACACCCTGACCGATTGGAAATGATGGAATGTTTGTGTAACTTGCAGGTGTCAATGTGACAGTGCTGGAAGGAGCAAGGGTGCGAACAGAAAACGCAGTGCTTAAATTACTCGCTTGAAAAACATTGGAAATGGGAACTGCAGTAACATTAACAGGTTTTGAAGCTGTCGCTGCAATGGTCTGCGGAACCACTGTCGTAACAATTGGATCGCCGCAATTTGGCGTACTACTGAACTGCTGCTTTTTCCACGCGCTGATCATAAAAGACAACAACTGACCGTCATCATCTGGTCCTCGAAGCAAAGGTTGCTAAAAAGTAACCTTCTTTCAGAAAAAGAAGAACTAGAATAAAAAATAACATTTGTTAAAACAATTTCAACTCTCGAAAGTTACAAAAGTAGGTTTAATGAAACAAAACTTGCCGGAACTTTCTTGATAAAAGTTGGGTTTTCAGTCTCCAGCTTCATAAAGCCAGTCTGAAAAAGAAAAAATGAATAGCACTCATACTTGAGAGAAGCTATAAAACTAATGGTAAGAACTTTGCGCTTTTAAAGATTACCAGAATATCGCATTCAGGGCAGGTAATGCAAATGCGCTCGTTATTTGGTAAAAAAGAGCGATGAATACACTGAGAAGGTTTTACAATAGCTTTAGATTGCGTCTGTACTTCTCGCTCGTAAACTTCAGGTTGGACTGGTTGAAAGTGAAACATACAAGCTGAAGTAAAGCCCATAAGAGCTGTAACATCATCAGTCTTCCGTCTTTCCTGAAATAACATGTGCACTCAATATATACAACGCAAAATTATTTCTGACCAATTGTATACCTTTAAGCAACAATCGTTCTTCACTATGTGCAGATATACCATGGCACCATCTGTAGATGCGAATCCGCAATGTTTGCAGAAGTACAAAATAGGATGATTATGTTTGACTAACATATGATGATACAAAGATTCTTCCTGTAAAAGTTAAAGTCATAAAGCATAACAGGAATCTAATAAATTAAGGGTAAAAGACATCTAAAATTAATGTAATAACTAACAGAAGAGTACGACTGCATACATCTCGAACAAACATATACTAAACGGGCTGCGTTGCTAATATTGCGATGCAGTTCCGTATGCATCTGCAGTTGTCTCTCTTTGAACGCAACAACGGAACATTCAGGGCAATTGTGGAGTGAACAATGAGCAGCTGAATGCTGTTTGAAAACTGCTGACGATTCATAAGCTAAGCAACACAGCCGACAAAGAAATACGACTGTGCCCACTGGTATACCATAAACCTTAAAGGAAGCTTTTTCCGAAAAGAAAAGAAAACTTTGTTACAGAAAGAATAACAGCAAATTGGGCAAAATACTTTGGGTAAAGTGTGGCCTGCATCAAAACGGTGGGACGCCGTATGTGCAGCGAGGGCTGCTGTTGTAATAAATTTTTGCGCGCAACGAGAGCACTGTAATTGCAATTCACGTTTCCGACTCACTTGTGCTCCAGGACTGGAAAAAACCGTTAAACAAGCTACTCAGTTTGCTACAGTCGCCAGAAAAAAAAAAAAA